AGTCCAACTTCGGCTCAGGTCATGATCTCGCGGTTGGTGAGTTCAAGCCCCACGTCGGGCTCTGTGCTGACAGCATGGAGCCTGGAGACTGCTTCGGATACTGTGTCTCCCTCTTTCTCTGCCCTTACCCCATTCATGGTCTCTCTCTCTCGACCTGTCTCGACCTCTCTCGACCTCTCTCTCTCAAAAATAAATAAACATTAAAAAATAATGTTATAAGTGCCTGTCTTTTGCCAGGCATCATGCTCGGCCTTGGCGATACGTTATCAACAACTGGTGTGAATGTTTTTCTTTCTTGATCTTTAATGTACAGATATTTTCAAGCACAGTAGAAACTCAGAGGATAACCTGATGCATTTCCATTAACTCATCACCCAGTCCCAACAATTATCAACATTTTTCTGATCTCTTTCATCTAAGTCACTTTTTTTTTTTTTCCTGGAGTATTTTCAGGCAAACTCTAGACAGCATATTATCTCACTTGTAAACCCTTGATTATGTATCTCTAATAGGAAGACAGTTGGGGCTTGACATTTTTTGCTAATCTACAGCTTTTAATTCCAAGTTTAATTTTTAAAAAGTTGTTCATTCCTCCAAAAAGTAATGCAGACCTCTCAATTAGTGATCACCAGTTGTTAGTGGTACCTTAGTTACATATAACGTTAGGACATTTTGCCTGATCTTTAGACATGTGCTCTTTTCCTTCTTTTGCCAACATTACTATTGGTAATAACAGCTACCGTACTACAACCCAAAGAGGCAGGAATTATTTTCCCTTATTTTGCTGATAAGGAAGCTGAGGGACATCAGGTTTCATGAAATCTCTGTGGAATATGAGACTGGCATCCATATCTGACTATGAAACTGTATGCTTTCTGTAATATCAAGATGTCCAAAGCATGTCTCCTGTATAGAGGCCAAACTGTAGAATAATGGTGTATTTTTATTTTTTTTAATGTATTTATTTATTTGGAGTGAGGGAGTGAGAGCACAAGAGTGAGTGGGGGAGGGGCAGAGAGAGAGAGAATCCCAGGCAAGCTCCACACTGTCAGTGTAGAGCCCCGATGCTGGGCTCAAACTCACAAATCAGGAGATCATGACCGGAGCCAAAGTCGGGTGCTTGGGCGAGTGAGCCACCCAGGTGCCCCAACGGTGTATTTTTAAAGAAGATGCTCTAGAGTGGGTGACAAGCACACATGACTGCATGTGAGACAGACACCGAGTGGGACGGGGTGAAGGAGTGGGGAAACGTGGCCTCGGGGCACTAGATGGTAAGGTCCCTCTTGGTGGCGAGCCAGCCTCTTTGCCACTGGAGATGAGGAACCATTGTTGCCAGAACTTTTGATTGTTCAAGAACTTGGAGGTCTCGATTTTATTTGAATTGTCCTAATTTTCAAAATACACTCTAGGCCAAACAATACATGCCATGAGCCTCCCAACCCAATGGCTGCCTCTTTATAATTTCTGCAACTTTTAAAATAAATTCTAGGTAAATATATAACGATACAGGGCATTGTGCTTTGACTTTTCCATGCCCTGTGAGAATTAGTGATCACCAGCCTGAGAATCAGGTTGTATTTTTATGCCCCTTTTACAAATCATAGAACTCAGAGAGGTTAAGTAACCTATCCAAGGTTTCCCAGTATGTTGGAGCTGAGATTCAGATCTCATATCTGTTTATCTCTACTGCTACTCACCATTTCTTATGTTTTAATTAACATGTTCAAACTACAGCTAATAATTAGTTCACATGGGATATTTTACACTGAAGCTGACTGAAATGTTATTTTGTAAACATTTTCCTCATGTGACAATGGCTTTTCTAGACCTTTATGCTAGGCAAAACTTTAAAACTTTGTGAGGAACACAAATTTGGTTATAAAACATGGGCCTGCTTTCTGACAAGAGTTAGGAAGGTGTTGCCTGGATATTAATCTTGTCATGAATAGAGACTTCTTTAATGATCAGAGGACCCCTGGAGAGACACTCATTCAGCAAACATAGGACACCAACAAGCAAACAACTCACACTGACTTCATGTCCTGGTTCCTTCTTCTCTTCTTCCTCCTCACCCTCCTCTTTCCTCCACGGGAACACCTCCGCCCCACCCAACACACGAGCACCCAGGACAGACAGATGCAGTCATGGCAGAGAGCAGGGCAGAATCTGGGGGAAGTATTCTTTCAGCAGTTTGAGAAATCTCTCACCCAGCCCTTGGTCTCAGCCCCCCACAACTTTCTGCTACTTTTTCAAAGTCCAGAGACTCACTCACATCCCATCAGTTTCTCTTTTCTCCCCCAACCCAGTCTTCCAAGGCACCACCTTAGGCGTTTGGAGATTTGGGGAGATTTCTGACCACAGAAAGGACCCTCAGGTGTGAATAGTGCTCGGTCCTCTGGCTAACAGGAGTGAGCCCCATTCTCTATCCCAGGAAAATGAGTACCCCAGAAAATAAGAAACATTTAAAGGGCACTTTCGAGCATAATGTCGATGGGATACCTTTACTGAAAAACAGACGCTGTAGAGTTTGGATTTTAGAAACGATGCCTTCTTTTTGTTTCAATAAATTTCCTTGTGGTAGGCAGATTCGTTCAGATCATCCCATCCCTTACATAGGACTTAAGGCCTAAATTGTTTTATGTTCCCCCCCCCTTTTTTTTAAGCCTCAGCATTTAAATATTTCTAGTTCTCTCTGGAGGATTTAGAAAGGAGGAGCCTTCTGAACTTGATGGAGCCTGGCCCTTGTGGTCTCTCTGTAAAATCTGTATTTGTTCTCCATCGTCCCTGTCTTCCCAGCAACACAGGGGATGAACGAATCACAGGAGGCTGCCCAGCATGGGGAAGGGAGCTCTTGTCCACTCAGGAATGATGGTGGGGGTGGGAGAGGCCAGAGAACACGCACTGGGAACTTGAGACAAACTGGTCCCCACATCATTCCTTTTCCCGAGCTGTTCTCCTTGTCTCAAGTCTGTGCGGTGAGAACTGGAACGCAGGAGGGGTGAAGTGGTATGAAATGAAGGGCCGAATACCTAGTTCTTAGCTGGTATCAGCAAGGCCAGGGGAGTGGGGCAAAGAAGCAAAAAGAGGATGCTGTGCCTGCATTGAAAATGCTTCTCAGCTCCTAAAGACATCAGAGATTAGGTTGGAAAATTAGAAACAGCTCACAGAAACATTCAGATAAAAATTGAGTTGGAGAAGAGATGTAAATGAGATGGATAATTTTGTTTATTGTTTAAGGAAGGGTAGGTTTTAGAAAATTGAGATAATCTTAGGCTCCCTCACTCGCATCACTAAATTCTATTTGTTAGAAAAAGTATTGTCGTTACGTTAGTGAATTAGTTCTTTTCATGGAACTGAAATGTGCAATGCCTGGGAAGAAGTGTTACACCCAGGCTTTGCCCTTGTTTTGGGTAATGGAAAATGTTGGCTCCGGGATGTACCGAGGCACCTTTTTAGTTTGCCCTATATTTAGTATTTCATTCTGTCAGAGCCCCTGCAAAAGGTGGGAGAAAGGGGGATTAGGGGAGAGAGAGAGGGACTCAGTCATTCTCATTGCTCATTTTCATTTAGACATCCTCCAGGCAGGAACTTAGAGTCCATGGTTTCCTTTTAGGTTGCGACTGTTTGCTTCAGATGGAAGGGTCATTGTGTTTCCATTGTGTTCTGTCTGTTACCAGTCCCAGAGGTCTGGCCGAGGGAGGGTTCTGCCTAGCAAACAGCAGGATCCATTTCTAGTTGAGGAACGGACGTTAATTCAGTATAGACATACAAGGCTTCTTGAAGGTCAGGCTAGGAAATAACTCTTTCTTTAGCAATCTGCAAAGATTATCAAGCCAATGTTTAATATTAGTGACTACTGTCAGTTCTTTATATTAATACATCTATCTTGTTCTAACCACAGTTCTACAAGGACAGTTTTGGTGTCTCATTTACAGAGAAATAAAGTGAGGTTCAGAAGACTCAACTGAATTGCATAGACTCGCAACGGCAAAGAACATGAATTTGAATAAAATTTTGTCTACCTCCAAAATCTATGCTCTGATCTACCCAGAGACGGGAGAGAACTTCTTGTTGGATAGAATGGTGGGTGGTGGAGTTATGGAGCTGGTGTCTGGGCCTCCGACTTGCAGCTCAGCACCTGTGGAACTCTGAGTCACTTATTTAACCTCTCTGAACCTTGGTTTTCCCATCTGTAAAATGGAAGTAATGGTGCCAACTCACAAAGTCATGATAAGGAGCCAATGACACAATTGTAGGTTCAATAAAATTTAGTTTTCTTCTGTCTTACAACTAATGTTTTCTCATTGTTGTGAATCAAAGGCATATATATTTTGGCTCAATTTGAAGTAAATCCAGTTCTCTGTCTTTCTTTTTTTAATGTTTTTTTTTCAGTGTTTTTATTTATTTTTGAAGGAGAGAGAGAGTGAGCACAAGTTGGGAAGGGGCAGAGAGAGGAGACACAGAATCTGAAACAGGCTCCAGGCTCTGAGCTGTCAGCACAGAGCCCGATGCCGGGCTCGAACTCACAAACTGTGAGATAATGACCTGAGCCTAAGTCGGACGCTCAACCGACTGAGCCACCCAGGCGCCCCAATCCAGTTCTCTGTCTGTAGCCTGTACTTTGCAATGAATGCTTTACCAGCTCTGTGGGCTTGGGCAAGTTAGTGTCTTTGTCAAACTTCTGTTTCCTTGTGTCTGAAATGGGGAGAAGAGCACTTCCTTCCTGGTATTATCATGAGAATTCGATGTATTCAGCAAATATTTGTTGAGCATTTAGTAAATCAACACTGTCCTCCACTCCAGTGGACAACAGTCTCTGCTCTCATAGTAAGGGGGGGGGGGGGGGGGGCGGTAGGTGATAGGTATAATAAGTAAAACCCAAACATAAGGTAAAATGGTAAATTCAGTTTCTTCTATGTATCAGGATTGTGTCTCCATAAATCTTGCAGACTGTGTGCTTTAGCAGATTTCTCAGAAACACCAATATTGCTCCTTTCCAGAAATTTGGAACCATCCGGGCAGACTTGATTGAGCAGATGAGATTCAAACAGAGACTAAAAGTGATCCAGACACTGGAGGATACTACGAAACGGAATGTGGTAAGTCCTTTGAAAAATAGTGGATGGCCTTCTTTCTCCATAAATTCCTGCTTCACAGACTGAGATGATTTAAAACAAGAAAATCAGGGACTTTCCCAATATAACATCTTTGAGATTGTGAAATTAATTGTGTCTACCTTCTTAAAGGTCCGAACAATTGTGACAGAAACTTCCTTTACCATTGATGAGCTAGAAGAACTTTATGCTCTTTTCAAGGTGAGTTCTTTTTTATTAATGTCTATTTACTTTTGAGAGAGAGAAAGAGAGAGAGAGAAGCAGAAGGAGAGGGGGGGAAGGGCAGAGAGAGAGATGGAGACACAGAATCCAAAGCAGGCTCCAGGCTTTGCTGACAGGTCAGAACCATGAACCGTGAGATCATGACCTGAGCCGAAGTCGGATATTTAACTGACTGAGCCACCCACATGCCCCTCAAGGTGAGTTTTAAAGTTAAATGCATGTACATCCAGGGGAATAAAAGAGTTCACTGTAATGATTCAATTAGTTCTAGATTTTTTTTAAATATTTATTTATTTTGAGAGAGAGAGCACGAGCAGAGGAGGGGCAGAGGGGGGGGGACAGAGGATCTGAAGCAGGCTCTGTGCTGACAGCAAGAGAGCCTGATGCGGGGCTCGAACCCATGAACTGTGAGATTATGACCTGAGCCACAGCTGGGCACTTAACTGACTGATCTACCCAGGCGCCCCATTTCTGTTAAATTGTTAAGGGACAGCATGAGTGTCGACATGCAAAATATTAAGATAGAGCTGAGAGTATAAAAATGGAGTGCTTCGGGGCACCTGGGTGGCTCAGTCGGTTGAGCATCTGACTTCAGCTCAGGTCATGATCTCACAGTTTGTGTTTTCAAGCCCCGTGTCAGGCTCGCTGCTGTCAGCGCGGAGCCCACTTTGGATCCTCTGTCACCCTCTCTCTCTGCCCCCCTCCTGGGCATGCATGCTCTCTCCTCTCTCTCTCTCAAAAATAAACACTTTTTTTACAAATGGAGTGCTTCATATGAAAAATAAGCATTTTCTCTTAACTGACTTAAGCTGATGTTTTAGCGCTGTTCCACTCCATATATATTTTAGCTATTTCCTTGGTCCTAACAAAATACGGTATTACTTTATAACACTCATTGGAATGATGGCAGTTGAATTTAAAGTCTCCCTGAAATTATTGTACATTATAATGTCTTACAAGAAGCTGTATTAAAGCACCCTCAGAGCTTTCCTGTATTAAGCTATATTAAAACACACTGAAAAAGAGATATGTAGCCAGAATAAGAATAAAGCTGTTCATATGCGTAAGGAAAAGCCTAATTGGTTAAAGTGCTGTGATTTTCATTCCATAATTCAGCCGGTACCAATCTTGATCCTGAATAAGAAGACATTTTATTAGTAAATAAAGCAATGTAGAATTTTTTTCTTCTAGAAAAAATACTTTTAACCATCGTTATCAACCTCATAGGTAAAAATGTGGCCATTTTGGAGAAACTTTGAAAAGATGTCTTTTATGCTGATGCCAACTTTATCCTGATCTCTAATTGAGTAGCTTCTTGTATGTTCCCCTTTTATTGCCAGAAATAATATGACTATTTGGAGACCTGCAAACATAGTACAGCAGGAAGCATTAAGGGACAAAGGTCTGGGTTGAACACTAACAGATCTTAAAATCAGAGGATGTGATAGCTGGGAATGTTTTCACTAATATCCCCACTTGCTTGTTAGCTACTAAAGAGCACCACCATTATTTTCTGTTTGTTTGTTTTACTGGTGCCTACTATAGTGTCTGTCCCTGGCAGGTGCTCTAAACATGTGTAATGAATACATGGGTAAGTTAGTGGTCAGTGGTCCATAGCTGGTTAATGATGCCCTTCGTGTATCCCAGCAGCATGACCAGCAGAGTGGACATCACCCCACCCCCCACCAGCCTCTATTCTGCACTTGATGGTGAGGTCTTTATAGCATGCCAGCCCATTCATATTTTATTCATACGCCATAACTAACTGCTCAGTGTAAGTTGGTTATTCATACGAAAAGGGCCCCTCTTGGTTTCATAAAGGAAAAATACAATGATCCAACTTGGATCAAAACCAAAGATCCCAATGATCCAATTAAGATCAGATTTTGAAGAGATGCTGAAGACCAGAAGAAATCCACTTTACAGGGTGGCGGGTAAGATTTGGGGTAACCGAGCAGAAGTGGGTGTAGCAGCCAGAGGCAGCAAGACCATGAACAGATAGCAGGAAGGGCACTGACGTTAGAAAGAGGAGGCTGCTTTGGGGGGACACCAGGGAAAGGAGGGCCAGAGCTGGTTGTGCGGAAGTCCCCGACCCAGAAACTGCCGAAGCCTGGGCACGTCTGCGCTGGTTGGGTCATTCGCACCTGAACAAAGCAAACTCTTCTTTTACTCCAAAGCCCTGCCCTGAGGCTGTGTTGACAAACAGGAACTCCCCCAATCTACCATGCACCCCAAGAAAGAACCTGAGACTCGGTGTCAGGGGTCAGAAGGAGCCTCAGGAGATACCGTGGAACCCAAGATAAAAACTTCATTATGGACTCTCTTTTTTTGAGTCTTCTGAACCCTTTCATTGGCTTTAAATCATTTGAATGAACATTGAGGCATTACTATGTGTCAGACACCTTGCCAGACTTCTTAATCCTTTAAAAAGCCAATTTTGGGGAGCAGGGGGTGGGAAGGGGTTCCTGCATGTACAAAGGAAAGATGCATCCCCTCTGGAGGAGCAAGTCCTATACCTGAAACTAACGTAACATTGTGTGTCAACGATACTCAAATTAAAACAAAACAAAAACTTGGAGGAAAAGGGTGAAAGGCTGCCACCTTGAGGCACATTTGATGACAAATGTAGTTCAGGGCCCCATTGCCCTAATTTCTCTTGAACTCTCTAAATTATTCCTTTGGTCCTTTTTGGATGTCTGGGCCCCTAGTCCCCCCATGATGGAGTGTGGGGGCTATCAAGGAACTGGCTTGTCTTTTCCTGATTTTTGTGAGCACTGTCAAAGTGCCTGGACTCACATTCCAGCCTGGTTCCAGAGTACTTTGCAAGCTTTAGTTAGGAGGAAATGCCTGAGGCAACCTTTATCCAGGAAGTAGCTCAGGCAAAGAGGACCCCTCCCAGGGATGTATTACCAAGGCCATCCCACCCACTGATGGCATCACTTTAGGGCTTGATCCTTGCAGGCTCTCTGACCTCAGCCCCGCCTGCCTGCCTTGAACATCCCCCCCCACTCTGACCTTACTACTACAGCCCGGGAATGCATTCCCAAACCCCCGTGAACTCTGACCCACTTCCTTTATTCTCCCAAGGCTGCATTGCAAAAACCTGCCTTTGGTTCTGCACTCCACCTCTTCCTCCCCCTCTTGCCTACCCCCACTCCTTTTAGTTTGTTCGCTGTGATTCCCAGTAAACAATTGTGATCAAGACATTTGGGCTTTGTTCCTTTCTAAGAGCAAAACTACTACTATACCCACTACTGACTCCCCCCTTACACAGCTCCTAAGCTAGGGGAAAGATCTGTTTCGAAAGTGCTCTTTTTCTACTGCAATATTTATACATTACTGTAGTGAGATACTCAGACAGTACAATGGGGAATAAAGTAAAAATAAAGTCCTCCTTTTCACGCCCCTCCCATCTCCCCCATTTACCATCCAGAGCTAACTGTAAATGTCTGGGGGAAGGGTGTCCTTCTGGGCCTTTCTATTACAAGTTTTATCTTTGTGGTCTTCCTAGAATGGGTGCACATATCTACCAGGATCAATAGGACTTCATGAATAAGAGGCTGCCTTGTTTCCAAGGACAGAAACAGGAAGCTTTTTGTTGTTTCCAGATCTCTATTCTCCTCACCATAGTGGTTCCTACTCAGAATTTTCCTAGAGCTATTTTCAGATGCGTGAAATAAGAAAACCACACATTTGTAGCTTGAATACTGTGACTATGATATTTATGTAATTTCAGTAACCAAGAGGAAAAGGGTCTTTGGGACACTAAACTAGGAATTCAGAAACCCCAAATGTCATGATGCTTCTGCCCTGAGTACGCAGTTGATGACCTCGTGAGAGCCCCTCAGCCTCTGGGCTTTCTCATCCTCACCTAGAAAACAAGCTGGTCAGATTGCCTAAATTACAGATCCTTTTGTTATGCCCAGAATTCGTGATCCCCAAAGACCACTAGGGAGCCGAGTCCGATGCAAAAGCAAAGAGCCTTTATTCGAGCTAGCTCGAGCTCAATCCCCTACCTGCACCGACGCAGCGGTGAGATACCAGGGAAAGAGAGCGAGTTTCAAAAGGACAAAGGTTTTATTGGGGCCTGGGGGCAGTTGGTGAGGTAATGGCTATGGCCTCAGCCGATTGGCTGGGGAAGGGTCCTGGGGAAGGGTCCGAGTCCTGTTAGGCAGGTGAGGGGGGTTACTCAAGGGGAGGAGGTGTGGTCAAGGTGAAGGACACAGAACAAGATGGAGTCGGCCGGCGTAGGCCCGCCCTTTCACTTTCATTTAACTTTTTTAAATAAATATTTTTGTTTATTTTTATGGGTTTTTTTTTTCTTAAACGTGTGTCAGTGTGTAAAGGGGAAACGAGTAGGGGTAGAGGCAGGGGATGTGGGGAGGTCCCTTTATTCACCTACCTCCGGTAACTGAGCTGGACCTTTCATGCCGGATGTAACCTGCAGAGGTGGTTGCCATGGAGTTAGTGGGGGTGTTCCAGTGGAGATGGGTGTAGAAGGAGAAGACAGGGAGCCCTAAGACCGGAGCTCCTGCCCCAGGAGACACGCACAGGTGGATCGAAAAGGCTTTTTGCAAACGTGAGGCGGGACTTTTCCTTCCCGGCACCTGCCGTGAGATCGCATCCCCAGTAATCCTCTTTTTTTCTTTAACTTTTCAGGCAGAGCACCTAACCAGCTGCTACTGGGGTGGGAGCAGCAATGCTCTGGACCGGCACGACCCCAGCCTGCCTTACCTGGAACAGTATCGCATTGACTTTGAGCAGTTCAAGGGGATGTTTGCTCTTCTCTTTCCCTGGGCCTGCGGAACTCACTCTGAAGTATTGGCCTCCCGCCTCTTCCAGTTGTTGGATGAAAATGGAGATTCTCTGATTAACTTCCGAGAGTTTGTCTCCGGCCTAAGTAAGCATGGGATGTTACTTCATGAATTGGGAAGGGATGACGGGGCAGCAACAGCCACCCCGTTCCTGGTGGTCCTCAGTGCTGCCCTCCGGGCCACAGCCCCACACTGCCTCCAAGGGTTTAGAGGGTAGAGCGTCTCATTTTAAGGTTTGCAAACTGACGGTAAAATTCGTTTAAATGAACGGATATACTATATGATTAAAGCATTCGACACTAGTTAGTCCTCAGCACAAGTTAAAATACATCATCGGAGAATGTGCAAGACAATAAAATGCCAACTTACACACTGAAACCACAGGCCGTGATACCTTTACAAGAATATTTGAGTGGATTGTTCTTCTTTGACACAAAGTATATTTATATTATGTATCGCAAAATGTTATAAAAACCTTTCGTGATGTTTTTAATAAAGGGTTGAAGAAACCGCAGCAGTTCTGCGGTCTCAATGGAGGTCTTTTCTCTCCATCTGGCCTGGAGGAAGGACCGGCTGTCCTGAGAAAGCACACCCACACCTCACAAGCAGCACGTGGTTTCTGCCCGTCAGCCTCACTGCCTGACCGTTATCCTGTGTTAGCAGGACCGCCCTATGTCCTTTAGAACTCTTGCTCCCTTCATGATGGAACAGAAAGGCTACAGGGTAGTAGAGCTTGGCCCACCAGACATTGAGGTTGTGGATGTAGGACGTGTTATGCCGGTGGGTCAGAATGAGACAAGGAGAAGGAAAAAAAAAAGCTCATTCTAATTGTGCCACTCTGTGACCGTGGGCCAGGTACTTTATTTATTCATTTTTTGATGTATAAAGAATTATTTATTTATTTATTTTGAGAGAGAGCAGGGGAGGGGCAAAGAGAGAGAGAGAATCCCAAGCAGGCTCTGTGCTGACAGCACAGGGCTTGATGCAGGGCTTGATCTTAAGAACCATGAGATCATGACCTGAGCCCAAATCAAGAGTTGGAGGCTTCACCCGACTGAGCCACCTAGGCGTCCGTCCCCAGGTCATGTACTTTAAAACGACATGCCCTAGGAAAGATGAAGGGGTCAGGCACAGAGCCAATGATGACTCCAAAAAGTGCTCTAAATCTTTAAGAATAATGACTAGGGCTTAAAGGCCGAAGGAAGCTGATGGTTTTTAAAAAGGCAAAGGGGAGGGGCATCTAGGTGACTCAGTCAGTTAAGCGTCCAACTTTTGGCTCTGGTCATGATCTCACAGTTCCTGAGTTCCAGCATCAAGCTCTGTGCTGGTAGCACAGAGCCTGCTCAGGATTCTCTCCCTCTCTCTCTCTGCCCCTCTCCTGCTCACACTCTCTCTCTTTCTCACAATAAATAAGTAAATATAAAAAGACAAAGGGGTGTAGATGAAGTGCACTTAGGAAGGAAAAAATTATTTGTATAAAGCATTCACATATATGCTTAAAAGGGAAGGGGGACATGGAAGAACTAGCCCTTTTTTAGTGCAAACACTACTCAGATGCTTTAGAATTTGTATTTTATCGCTAAATCCAAACAGCCTTTTGAGGAGATACTAATGACAGCTGACATTTATACAGCATTTACTCTGCTGCGGGCACTGCGCTCATGTTTACATGCATTCAATTTGCCTAAGACACACAACTACGAAATTGAAGTTTGAACCCAGGCACTTCAGGGGCCCACTTTGTGCTCTTACTATTATGCTTTATTACCCACGCGCTTACTCTTATTAGCCCCTTTTTTGGCTAAAGACATGAAAGCTCAGAAAAGTTAAATAACTTGCTGGGACATTCATTTCTAGCGAGTCAATACTTACCTGTTATTGGACTGAACTACACAGTTAGTACATGCTGGGCCCAGGATTCAGAGAAGGGCTGTCTGTCTCAACGAATCATCCTTTTCTTGCTACTCGATGCTGAGGACAGCAAGCAGGATATTTCTTAGGAAGAAGGAGGTACTAATTTTTAATTACACAAGTAACATATAAGTACATCCTGCTTTTTTAAACAGTGAAACAATCCAGGCAAGGCTAAAGACCCCTTTATCCCTCTCCTAATCTTTTCTGCCCCAAGGTAACTACTTATTGCCAGATGGGTGGCTTTCATCAAATCCAAAGGGGATTTATAAAAATTATCTTTGGACAGGATTAAGGAGGAGGAAAAAGAAACCAGTGCTGCATTAGAAAAGTGATAGAATTTAATAGAAGTATTTAATTGACTTAAGTTCAGGTGACTCCAGTAAGGAAAATACTCTTCAAAATCTTCAAGAAAGGAAAGAGAGGCTTGTAGTCCAGGATAGTGAAAACACTGAAAAAGAGTATTTAGGGTTCTCAAAAGGCAGTTGAGTTCTTGAGCAAAGTATGCCTTGCTCCAGATACTGGGAGAATGCTCAGAGCTGTTGTCACTCTGTGGGACAATTATTATAGAGATAGACAAGCAGACCAGAAAAGAGAAATTCTGTTCAGGTTTTAAAAACTAAAAAACAGGGACGCCTGGGTGGCTCAGTCGGTTGGGCGTCCGACTTCTGCTCAGGTCATGATCTCACAGTCCGTGAGTTCGAGCCCTGCGTCGGGCGCCTGGGTGGCTCAGTCGGTTGGGCGTCCGACTTCGGCTCAGGTCATGATCTCGCAGTCCGTGAGTTCGAGCCCCGCGTCGGGCTCTGTTCTGACAGCTCGGAGCCTGGAGCCTGTTTCAGATTCTGTGTCTCCCTCTCTCTCTGACCCTCCCCCGTTCATGCTCTGTCTCTCTCTGTCTCAAAAATAAATAAACGTTAAAGAAAAAAATTTTTAAAAACTAAAAAACGGATTCTGGAAAAGATGATATCAATCCCCAGGAAGGTCCCTCTAGAAATTCATGAACAGATGGTCTATGTGGAATTAGAAATAAGGGATTACTATCAGAAGCCACAAATGAACTGTATCTCCTTTTCCAATCATGTTGCTGAAAGGCAGGCTCTAAATATGTCATACGTGTCCTGATGCAGCTGGTCATTTGACAGATAACTTGTTACAAATGGAAAAGGTAGGAAGGAGTATATAGAAGTTGGTGATTAGGTAACTGGCTCAACACTGCCCCCAAAATATGATGGTTAATGAGTCAGTTTCAGCTGAGGGTTCTCTGGTACTTTGGGTTTGATATTTGACCTCTGATTTTTCCTTCATTTGCAAATGAGTAACTGTCAGGATAAAATGACTTTGAATAGAATTCTTGGAACAGTGCCTGACTTACAAAGGGTTTAATGACAGACATTTATTAATTATTTGCTTTGTGTTAAATCTCGTGCTAACTGCTTTCCACGTGTGTGTCACTTTTCTTCTCACAATAATTTTACGAGATAGAATTGTCTGTCATTACTTTCATGATTAGCATTAGTTGGTGTGCAGACATCTTAGAGTTTAGTTAACCACGTGGTCAATATGAAACTCCAGAGTGAAAGAGTATAAAAAAATTGAATGTAAACTCAGGCCATATTAGTGGAAAAGTCAAAAACAGCTCCACTATTCTCTGAAGTAGATAAGGGTCTTCTGGGACTCTCTCCAGAGAGATATTGATTGATGAGTTGACACATAAAGTGGATGTGAGTAAAAATGGGGAAGGCTATACAAATCCTGTTACGAGAAAGTGGAAAAATTTGGAGAGGGCACGATAAACTTGCCTTGAAAAGATAAGCTTGAGGGAGACAGGTGAGTTGTCTTCAAAATCTGAAGGTTGTTGTATTGAGGCAACAGACCTATTCTATTTGGCTTTAACGAGTAGAATAAGGGAAAGAAGAGCAGTTCCAAACCTTTTTTTGAGTCCTGGACTCTTTGAGATCTAATAGGGACTTTGGACATTTTCTTCCCCTCAAAATGACATGTGCACATAGAGACAAATTTTCTATTTCATGGGCTTTGTGGACTTTCTGAAGTTGAGATTGCAGGTTAAGGATCCTGAGACTAAAACAAAAATTGCAGAAGGACTTTCAGTAGTTAGAGAATACATCTGCAGAACAGAATGCATCTGGTGGTGATGACCTCTCCATCTCTGAAAGTGTTCAAGCAGGTGCTAGATCCCTGTCTTTCGTCAGTGCGTGAAGGGAGATGCCTGCATTTAGTGGACACCCCTGCTGTTTCTGGGACCCAGATTCTGCGATTCCTCTTTCCCCAAAGCTGACTAATCTTCAACTGGCTGCTCTAAGACTAGATATTTGTGAAGGATTTTCTGATTCCAATACGTATAGACTTTAAAAGAAAAGTAACAGTGTTCTTTTGATTGAAGGGATGGTGATATGATGGCAGACGGATGAGGATGAATCAAACTGAAGAAATATTTAGGAGAACCCCAAAACGACTAACAGGGATTTCTACAATGAGTAATTGGAAGCGATCTCAAACATGTTTCGAGATTATTTCTGAATTCTGTTCGAGTGTTGAAACCCAGTTAAATGGGTTTTCTTATGAATAACACATTTATTATGTTCCAGGCACTATTCTAAGTGTGTTATACGTGTTAATACATTTAATTCTCACATTCCTTTGATCCTGATGTCAAGACCACTGGTAGAATCTTGTGTTTATTATTACACAGGGGAAACTGAGGTACAGAGAGATTAACTCTCCCAAGGGCAAATAGTAAGTACAAAGGAATTGAACCCAGGCATCTGGGTTCCAGAGCTCTTAACCCAAATATGTCCTGACCAGACCTTTTGTCACCTAATGTCTTTATTTCAGTTTGCAAAAAGTAGACTTTTTAGGGGAATGCTAAGCTGAGAGGCATCACTACCACACATGATACATTTCACATTGTATTTATATGATTCTAGGTGCTGCATGCCATGGGGACCTCACAGAGAAACTCAAACTCCTGTACAAAATGCATGTCTTGCCTGGTAAGTGAGCCACACAGAGGAGCCCATGTATTTGTGACCATGACCTGGTTTGAAAGTTCTTTTTTTGATATACAAAATCACTCACTGGTCACTAAGCATGAACTGAATAGTAATTACCTGCATAGGTTCCTGCATCAGTATGTGCTTGATTCCACGGTCATTTACCTGTCTGAGGTATGAGTTATAATAGAAAAGAGCAGACATCTGCAAGAGAAAGAACAAATAACATTTGGTAACTCACGAGATACAAAGGTCGCAAAAGAGGAGAACGTAGGACCTGAGATTTTGAGTTTAGAAGGAGTCATTTTAACACTGACAGAAACAAGTGGGCAAGATGGAGAGGTTTTGAGTTCAGGTTTTAAAAGGTTGGCCTATAGCTTGGATATATCTAGCAAACACTAAAAAAAAAAAAAAAAAAAAAAAAAAAAAAAAAAAAAAAAAAAAGGATTGACATTAAGGATAGAGATAGGGTAAAATTGTAGATTTGAGAATTATCTTTAATTGTATACAGTTTCCTAAAATTTGGTTTGTAAGGCAGCATTTCACAGAATTTAGGACAGTCTCGTAAAAAGGAAGAGGCAAAGGGACACTTCAGTGTGGGGTTGTTAAAAAGGAAGGTGGAGTGAAAAAATGAGCCCCCCACACCCCCCATGAGGTTATAGAGGCCTTCGGCATTCAGGGCCCCCAGTAATGTGCCCCCTCTCCACCTTGGTACCTCCAGCTCCTCGTCCTCCCCCATGTCACTTCTTTAACAATTAAAGCACACTTTCCTTGAGTCACCGTCCCGCCAGTATGAGAATGACCTCTCCTTCCCTCTCTAGAGCCATCCTCTGATCAAGATGAGCCAGATTCTGCTTTTGAAGCAACTCAATACTTCTTTGAAGACATCACCCCAGAATGCACACATGGTAAGTGACTTTCCTCCCCATAGGTACAGTATTTCTTTTCTACAGAGCCCTCTTGTTACTAGAAAAAGTTGCCTCAAAGCTAGTCAGTCAAAGAAGTATATGAATTCAGTTGCCTAATACATTACTTTCTTTTCAGATTTGTGAAGTCAAGCAGCCAACAACTAGGGAGTGGGTACTTTGCCCACTGAAGGGAGCATGCACACTGTGTCCCACTGGCTTAGAGAAAACATGACCCCTAGAGCGATATATTTTGTTCCCCTTTCCCTACTGTAGTCAGGCTCATTAAGAACATCATCCTGTTATTATTCTGCTATCCAGAATCAGGACATTTATGTCAGAAAGAGTTCTCTTATATCTGTATGTAAGAGATACACAGGCTGTGTAATAGGTGTCAGTAAACTTCAGCCCAGGGGCCAAATGTGGCCCGGGGTCTGTTTGTACAGCCTGCGAACTAAGAAAGGGTTTTACAGGGGCGCCTGGGTGGCTCAGTCGGTTAAGCGTCCCACTTCAGCTCAGGTCACGATCTCGCGGTCCGTGAGTTCGAGCCCCGCGTCGGGCTCTGGGCTGATGGCTCAGAGCCTGGAGCCTGCTTCCGATTCTGTGTCTCCCTCTCTCTCTGCCCCTCCCCGTTCATGCTCTGTCTCTCTCTGTCTCAAAAATAAATTAAAAAAAGTTAAAAAAAAAAAAAAAAAGAAAGGGTTTTACATTTTTAAATGGATTTGAAGGAATCAAAAGTAGAATGATATTTCATGATATAAGAAAATTATATGAAATTTAAACTTGAGTGCCTATAAAGTTTTATTGGAACACTGCCAAGCTATTCATTTATGTATTGCCTCTGGCTACTTTCGTGCTATGGGTGGTAGAACTGAGTAGTTGAGACAGAGGCAGTGTGGGCTGCAAAACCTGTGAAATATTTACTGTCCAGTCTTTTATGAAAAAAAAAAAACGTGCTGACTTCTGCTTTATGTAGGTATGGGTATTAGGTCTACATAGACATGGTTCAACTCATTGTATACAATGAGATACACAGACGGTGTCTGTCTTGTATGAATCTAGGCAACATCTCTCAGTAGCTATTGCAGTGACTTCTCTACCTTCTCATTCATCATTACTGCAGCTTCATGACTTCACCCAAGTTCAAAAGTAAACATGGGCTGCTTCTGGGTCCTTTTGCCTCTTAAATCTTATCATTCCAAAATAAGCACAGTTTAGACCAGCTTTTTTTTTTTAATTGGAATTTTTAACTTACAGTGTTGTATTAGTTTCAGCTGTGCGACATGACTCAACAATTCTATACATTACTCAGGGCTCATCACGATATGTGTGGTCACCATATGTCACCAAATAACGTTAGTATGATTGAGTAGAAAGGGGTGAGCCAGACCCAGTCTTATTACTATTGGCAATACAAGTTGAGGGTAGGATCTTTGGACGGAATGCCACTCTGTATATTGTTACCTAGGTGAGCTCAGGTAGGTTCTGGCATCTCTGAGCCTCAGTTTCCTTTTGTGGAAAATGGAGATGATAGCTGGCCTATTGGGTATAGTATGGATTTAATGAGCTGACATAGTCAGGCTTTTTTAGCATAGTGCCTTAGCATATCTTACAATATTCCTAACTTTGTTTGCAATAGTTTTTTGGCTGCAAAATGTTAGCCGTATCTTTGTTAGTAAACACTCATTTCAGAAAAGGATTCACTTATTTCAGAATGCTTCAGGAATGGTCACATGCTAATAGGATTTAATAATCATTAAAAGTTGCTTTAAAAAAAATGTTTTTCTAACTCCCAAATCACTATTGCTTTGTGTTGAAATTTTAAAAATACAGTTATAATATATATATATAAAATAAGCTAGGGGCGCCTGGGTGGCGCAGTCAGTTAAGCATCCGACT